TGGCTTCTGTCACACTGAAAGTTATAGGGCTGGGCACGTTCCAACTTATTCTAGCTGTCTCGTTAACGGTTAGTTCCAACCGTTAAAAAAAGAAAATTTTAGTCAGCCGTTAATTCTAAAGGTAAGAACGGAACATTCATTTCGTTAACGGTATTTTCCCCTAATTTCCGAAAACCTCCGTTTCATTAACGGAACTTTACCCAGCCCTAAAAGTAACGAAAACTTTTAGGAATCTAAATAATAATTCATTGTAACCAGAAACCATTATATTTGTTATTAAACCCGAAATTAAGAACATTTTGTTCTAAATAATGAACAAAATTTTAAGGATAATGTTTGGGAATTTCTGTTTATTTCAATTTCAACAAGACTTATTCATATTTTGTAATGCTTTCGATAGTTCGATATAATCAATATTACAAATAGAATAGCAAGGATTTAGTCTCACTGTGTTTTATTTGTTTTTTAAGGTAAAAAAGTTAAATCTTAAACCTTCCAACCTGCTGCAAAAAATAACATTCATATGGAATGAAATAATATGCCTTATAAAATAGATTTTGCAATTTTGTTTTGAACGTTAAACCATTCGAAATAACATTGTTAAACCTGTTAAAACTAGTTTTGCTCTGCAGTTTGTACATATAAATGTTGTTTAATGTCTACACCTTTCATCCATAGATATATAAATAATCAAGATAATAAATAAATTAAATTAAATTTTAGAATTAATAAAATTAAGTAAAAAATTCTGGGTTTGTCAAATTAATAAAAATAATCTCATTTATATCAAAACTTACAAAGTTTACAATATAATACCGCCATAATAGATTTAATCTTTTCATTTTGTTAAACATAATTAAAGTATCGAGTCCCCTTTTTTAAAATTCCCGGGGGGGGGGGAATACAATAATTTTTAGTTTTGTTATATTCTCTGAAAGTTTTACGGGCTGGCCGGGTATTTAGATAACATAAATAAATTACCTCTCTTTGCAAAGATGGCAATGCCCGATTTACAAAGGAACCCTTAAAACCGTTATCTGATTAAGTTTAAATTCGATTTCTCTCGAAGTATCTCAAATTCTCAAAATGAAGAGAGAAATCAATGTTTGTAAATTTTAAAACTGTTTATTTTCAATTGTGACTTCTCTACAAAAGGAACTGCGCTTTCTACTACAGGAAAATATATTGGAATTTCAAAATTAAACAATGTTAAACAAAGAAAAGCAACAATATCTGCCACATTATTGATATAATAAAGTTCTATACCGTTGTGAATCGGGCATTGTCATCTTGGCATGGAGGGTTGATTGAAATTCCGCTTACAGTCCCTTTAAGAATAAGATCCTTTTAGAATAAGAAGTATTGGATAAGATTCGTTTAAAATAAGAATTATTGGTTAAGATCCGTTTAAAATATGAAGTATTGGATAAGATCCGTTTAAAATAAGAATTATTGGATAAGATTCGTTTAAAATATGAATTATTGGATAAGATCCGTTTAAAATAAGAATTATTGGATAAGAATTATTTCTCCTTGCCCACGGCAAACTTCCAATCAACAAAGAAATTGTATTGAACGCTTTTCTAAATTTGTTCTCACGATTATATTAAATGATCGCTTTTTTAACGGATAATTTTGTATGTCCCCTTCCCCCCCCCCCGGCCCCCTCATATAAATATAAATATACTAAATGATATTGACAGAAATTAAGCCTGAAGGAAAAAACTAAGTTGATTGTTGATGAATAGAATTTATGCGTACGACGCAATTAGTTGTAGAATAAATGCGTATGACGTCAATGTATCTTTTCAGACCAGATTTATATAAGAACATATAACATTGACTTCTTTCATATTAGACCAATGATATTGATATGTTTCATTTCATAAAGACATGTATTGATGCGCAAAAATGAGATGTTAAAAATCAAAAATTTGATTAGTGTTAACAGTGAAAAACGGACATTTTGTTTCGAGTTTAACATTTTCTTTTTTTTTCAAAATTATGAACGGAATGTCAGGAATAACTCTCAGATTTGTTTAATTTACATTTTGGAGACAAATTACAAAAAACGTTTATTACTTAAGTTGAGAAACAGAAAATACGCAAATATCTACATTTCATTAAATTTCAACATGCAATTAATTACATCTGTGGAATTGTGGAATTGTGGAGTTTCTAATCTGAATTGCAAGTTTCAATATGCAATTAATCACACCTGTGGAATTGTTGAATTTCTAATCTGAATTGCAAGTTTCAATATGCAATTAATCACACCTGTGGAATTGTGGAATTTCTAATCTGAATTGCAAGTTTCAAAATGCAATTAATCACACCTGTGGCATTTTGGAATTGTGGAATTTCTAATCTGAATTGCAAGTTTTAAAATGCAATCAATCACACCTGTGAAATTGTGGAATTGTAAAATTTCTAATCTGAATTGCAAGTTTAAAAATGCAATTAATCACACCTGTGGAATTGTGGAATTGTTGAATTGTGAATCTGAATTGCAAGTTTCAAAATGCAATTAATCACACCTGTGGAATTGTGGAATTGTGGAATTTCTGAATCTGAATTGCAAGTTTCAAAATGCAATTAATCACACCTGTGGAATTGTGGAATTGTGGAATTTCTAATCTGAATTGCAAGTTTTAAAATGCAATTAATCACATCTGTGGAATTGTGGAATTGTAAAATTTCTAATCTGAATTGCAAGTTTCAAAATGCAATTAATCACACCTGTGGAATTGTGAATCTGAATTGCCTTCTCCGGCGACGGACTTTCCTAAGTTTACAATCTACAGTTATTACTTGCGAACAATCCCTTACTTCTATTTCCTTTTATGAAGCACATTCTGAAGGGTGGTTGATGTCCTGTACAATATACTTGTCAGAATCTAAACTCAAATTCAAGCGCAGCATTGTGTGCAGATTTGCGCGCGAGAATTTACATTGAGGATGTACGCGCTATAAACTCATATTTTAAATAATAGTTAATTGACATTTAACCATTATTCAAACGATGGGTGTACATTAAGAGGTTAAACTGTTGAACATGATGAGCCTATTTCTGCCAACCTCCCCCCCCCCCATTTAATCATCGTTTCGCACACTGTATTTTGTGCATATCCCAATAAATGCATAATGCGCAAGGTTCTGCTTCATTTTGATAGTTTTGACACTAAACACTAACTTTTAATCATAAATTGCAAAATGGCCTTATAAAAACAGTTTTCCATCGGTTAAAGATAGATAGATAGTTCATGGACGGGCAGGATAGATAGATAGAGGTGGTTTGGGTGGATAGTAGTGGGGGGGGGGAGAGAGAAAAATAGTTTTCACCAGGGTTGACCTTGCAGAGAATAGGTCTGGAGGTATGCTGCTGCACCACTTGCTTAGGGGGCAGGCGGGGTTAGGGTCCCAAGTAAAGGAGGCGATTTTGTCTCCATTTACTTTTATTTTATTATCATCATAACTGTAAAATTTACGCTCAGTTGCGTACCAATACTAGTCTCCCGAATAATACTGCTGTCTTAAATACAAAATTTATAATGTCAAAAGTAAAGCTTTCGCTCTTCACATATTATAAGTTTGCTGTTAACATGTGATAAACATTGTGATATTGATGATAAGTCCCAATTTCTAGACCATCGGAAAGAATAAAAAAGTCACAGAATTGTGAATTACAAATTATGTTGACCTCATCTAAGGAAAAATAGGCTTAAAACTGAGTAGTAGAACTTTTAAAGAGCTTCACAATGGTAAAAATCAGTGTTAATTGAGTCATAGTACTAAAAATTTAAATTTAATTGGTCAAAATCAATTATTTAATAATTGCTACCATTGCTATTTCAAAAAGATATTTACTTAAATCCCAGCAAAGGGAAGATGACATGTTTAGTTTTATCCCTGTAACAGATGGTAGATTTTAATTAGTGTTTTCAGGAAATAGATATACGCTGTATAATGTCATTCTGACTGTCTTCATCAATCTATCTATCTATCTGACTATCTCTGTCTATATATATCTATATATAGACAGAGATAGACATATATAAATAGATGAAGAATTTATCAAAACTATTTCAAGATTTATTATTTATTTTATCTATCTATTCTATATATCTTTCTATCTATCTATCTATTCTATATACCTACCCTTTTGTCTTTTAAAAATAAAAGAATTTCAACTATTTACATTGTCTATGGTTACCAATGCATTGGTATTTCTATGTTTATTGATATATGCAATATACATATATATATATATTGATTCTAGATATATATTCGTATATTTGGCATTTTGGTTTTTTAGAGTAGTACAATCGACGAAAACATTCCAGCCATAAAAATATTATTATTATTATTATTATTATTATTATTATTATTATTATTATTATTATTATTATTATTATTAATTATTAGTATCATTATTATTATTATTATTATTATTATCATTATTATTTCCATTTATCTTCTAGAATCTAGATAGAACTTGTTAAAGGGATGAAAATCCTGAATCTTATTCTAAATGTCAAATTTATGTTTCACTGAATATAATTAAGGAAGGGCAAATAAACAATACACTTTTTCAGCAAACTAATTCTTTAAATCAAAGCTAACTAATTCTTTTTAATTGGAATTAAATCTTCAATGATTGTTTAGTCAAGGATGCAAATCAACCAAACTGAAAAAGATTTTGACCTTTTTATCAAGTAAAAAAGATTTAGAGCAACAAATACTAACTTTGTAAATGTAAATGTAAATTTTTTCTTAACTCGCGCAGTTGTCATCCCTTCCCCCTTCTGTGGATCATTTCTTGATTACATTTTGGTTGATTTCATGGGTGTATTTTGGAATATTTCCTTCGAGTTGAAAGTGTACACTGTTGATAACAATTCATTCGATGCGTTTAAGTGCTATCTTAACCAAAAGTTTTAGTCTCTGATGTAATTATATTCATCGTCTAAAAAATTTATAATTTGATTTTCCTTTTTTAGGTTGATATGTGAACGCTATGGTAGACACAAAGAAAGGATTGAGAGAGTGGAAGAAGAATGGATTTATTAAGAACGGATAAAAATCAGCAATGATGGATTGGGGTGAGGAAGAAATAGGTAAACAATTATAAAGTAGTAATCTCTGTTTATTTGTTTGTATATCCGATCATAACTCATGAACCCCTGGACTGATTTGTCTCAAATTTTAATTGAGGAACTCGGGAGAATCACGGGAATGTTCTAAGCTTGGTTTTCAGATTCTAAATATAGTGGGTCCACTTTTATAGGGAAAAATATCTAAACTCGTAATTTACGACCAAGCGCGGGTAAACGGCGGGAGTAACAGTTTGAACCAAAGTTTCTAATTGACAAATATTAGATTTATAAAAAAAGAATACACTTTTAATTTTTTTTGAGAACTTTTTTATTCTTTTGCGTAAGCTAATATTGAAGGAAACTAACCTTAATTCCTTATAATGTTCTTTTCCAAAATAATATTTTTTAAGTCTTAAGTTCGGTCATAAAAAATTGCATAGACTTTTTTGCAGCAAAAACTTCATATTTTAAGACAGTTAGTATTTGCAGTACAAAAAATGCATCCAAAAATTTCTTAAAATTTGCCTTCTGTCGTTTCTTTTCTTCCTAATATTATTCTGAATTGTTCCACCACTACAGCTAGTTGTTCAAGAAAATGGCGTGCAAAGGCATGTGAAATTTTCGCAGATTTTTGCTTTTATATTCCCTGATTTTACTCGACGCTTTTTATTTGACCAAGTGTTCATATAGAAGCGTAGTATTGTAAATGCACGACCTACGTGTCTATAAAGCATTAAACAGTTAAATTCTGATTGTAAAATCACAGATTACACAGAAAGGACAAAAGCGTTAGTCTTTGTTTCTGGTCGTTAAAATTTATTTGTAACTGTATTCATTTTAAAATTTGGCATTAAAATTGGGCTTTTATGCACTAGGTTTTAAATGTAACTGAAACTGCAACAATTGTCATGGGCGGTCATGAACCTTCTCTACCCGCTTGTTGACTGTTTCGTCCAAATTTTTTTAAAAATGGTGTTTGTTGCTTATCTATCTGAAACCCATTTGTACATTTTAAAAAAAATAACAATTAAAAATTTTGCTAAGTTTGCTGTCTTTAGATTTTTAATAAGTAATCTTTTTTTATATAAATAAAATTTTTTTTAGTGTCATAAGAAACAAAAAATACCCAAAACATTTCTCGATATACTATCTCTATAAGCTATGGTCTAGTCTTACATAATCCGTAGGCCGGCTCTATTCCCTCTATTGTTCTTCAATCAAATGCAAAATTACTAATTACAAGGTATTTGAATACCGGGGGATGATCGCTTTTTTAACGGATAATTTTGTATGTCCCCTTCCCCCCCCCCCGGCCCCCTCATATAAATATAAATATACTAAATGATATTGACAGAAATTAAGCCTGAAGGAAAAAACTTCCGGCCCCAACACCTTAACACTCCCTTCCATTCATCCATTTTTCAGATTTCTTCTTGATGCAGTCTTTTTCACCTTTAGCAGTTTAATTTACCCTCAACCAAGGTTATAATGCAAGGAAAGTTAATTGCTGTTGCGTATACTCTGCGTACATATTGAAACCAGTTCTCTCTGGGCGGAATTTGTAGACAATAATAGATGAATCAGTGTTCGTTTAGTATCCGACGGGGTTAAAAGCATTAAATTTTGATAATTTTGATAATTCACATAATAATTTCCTATGAACAGAATATTTTATTGATTTTTTATGTGAAAGATGGATCCCATGTCAGGCTTCGACATCCGTCTTGTGTTTACATTACCGCCCAGAAACAGTACATTGCAGTACAAAAGATGCGTACACTTCTGAAATAACTTTCCTTGCATTATAACCTTGCCCTGAACCATAGTAATATCACCCCTTAATTCATACTTGATCAGGCAAATCTTTAAAGTGTACCATCGTGAATCGGGCATTGTCATCCTTGTATTGAGGGTTATTTCCGCGTACAGTCCCTTTAACTTCATTTTTCCTCCTGTACACCCCGGTTTTCTCCTATTCTTCATAGTGCCCACGCATTTCATGTTCTGCGCAGATATATTGAATTAAAGAATATGAGTTTTATTCTCGAAATTTCAGCCTTTCATATTTTTGTAAAATCATGATTTTGTACTCTCTCTCAGATCAGATTAAGAAACTCCCTTGAGTATTGGTAAGACGGTTATAAAGCGTAAATGCATGAATAAAGAATATAAGGAAAAAAGCTTTGAAAATATAATATAAAATTTCGTTTGCAAAAATTTCATTTTTAAAATATACCGTCACGAATTGTTGTACAGGCCGGCCTGGTAAGTAAGGACAAACAAAATTGTACTGCAATGAATTCTTGTAAAGACCCGGCATATATAGTAAAGCCGAAATTGTAGTGCAATGAACTATTGTACAGACCCGGAAGATGTAGTAAAGATGAAATTGTACTGCAATGAACTCTTGTAAAGACCCGGCATATATAGTAAAGATGAAATTGTACTGCAATGAACTCTTGTACAGACCCGGCATATATAGTAAAGTCGAAATTGTACTGCAATGAACTATTGTACAGACCCTGCATTGCATATATAGTAATGATGAAACTGTACTGCAATGAACTCTTGTACAGACCCGGCATATATAGTAAAGTCGAAATTGTACTGCAATGAACTATTGTATATAGTAAAGACGAAATTTTGTATCATATCGAATTTTATGTGTATGAATTTTGGCCCAAAATATATTGCTCTTTTTAACGCAGTGAGTTTTGAAATATAAATCAGACCAAAAAAATTAAAAAATAACAATTAAAAAAAATAACAAGCATACTTAATAAAAATTGGCCTTTTTATTTCAGGCTTTCAGACTCAATTCACTGCAAAATGTCAAATGTTTAGAAAAATGTATACAAAGAAAATAAATAGAAATAAAGAAATAAATAGATAAAATATCATAAAATTCCCAGGGACAAGGTATTTTTGACATAAACAGGATTTCCCGAAATATTTTAAGCTTTTCATCTTTGTTTAGTTTCCTGTCGTGTCGTGATACTAAATAAAAGATTAAGGTTTCAAGTTAACCTCCATAGCTGATTCACAACGGTTCCCTTTAGCCCTTTCACGAGGAACCAAAAATGAAAATTAAATTTATAAATCGAAAAAAAGACTTTTTATCACACAAAGGTTTAAAGTGTACTGCTATAAGTTAAACAAACAACTCTACAAACGAAGGATCAGTTAATATGTGTCTAAAGTCATTTTAAATATTTTTATTGATTTAGGTGACGGGACAAAGAAAATCGAGAAAATGCGAGGCTCACAGGTTAAACATTTTTATTCATTTCTGGATTTGAAAAAAAATTGACAAATTGTTCATACGATACTATTCTACGATACGATAATATGATATGCCGCAGCATCCAGAAGGAATTTTGTTTGTTAAACCGTCTAATCTCTAAAGTTGAGAATTAAAGGATTAACCATACAAAAGTTCTAACCTCTGGAAAAGGATATTGGTAATGACTCATGACTATACCAAAGCGCCACTGAAGAAACGGATTAGAGATGACTGAAAGGATTAACAATACAAAAGTTCTTATCTCTGGAAAAGGATATTGGTAATGACTCATGACTTATACAAAAGCGCCACTGAAGATACGGATTAGAGTTGACTGAAAGGATTAACAATACAAAAGTTCTAACCTCTAGGAAAGGATATTGGTAATGACTCATGAATATACCAAAGCGCCACTTAAGATACGGGTTAGAGATGACTTAACGGATTAACAATACAAAAGTTCTGAGCTGAGGAGGACTATATTTGAAAGTATATATATATATATGTATCTAGGGAGGAGAGGGGATGGATGGGTATAACCTAGAAGACTATATTTGAAAGTATATATATATATATATGTGTCTAAGGAGGAGAGAGGATGGATGAGTATAACCTAGAAGACTATATTTGAAAGTATATATATATATATATATATATATATATATGTATCTAGGGAGGAGAGGGGATGGATGGGTATAACCTAGAAGACTATATTTGAAAGTATATATATGTATCTAGGGAGGGGAGAGGATGGATGGGTATAACCTAGAAGACTATATTTGAAAGTATATATATGTATATTTATATATATGTATTATTTATGTGTACGTATTAGAGATGTCAACTATAGTGTAACGTAACGTAAAATGTACGTTTTTGTACGTTACGTTACAATAATGTGTAACGTTTGGATATATTCTATATAACGTGAACGTTAA